AGCATCTCTGTGCAGTCAGACCTTTGATTATTTTGTGCCACCAGGGCCACAATAAAATGCCTCCTCTCTGATTGTCCGAGTGTGACCCCCTCCCCATGGGTTACTGCAGCCAGTGTTGCCAGCACTGCCACCCCCAGTACCCCACCGGAATCCCCACCGGCTAGGTACAAGGTCATCAAGGTTTTCACTAGCAGCATTTAACAAGTTTGTAGAGTCACAAGAATTATGTAGTCACCGCGTGCTAGGAATAGGCCTACGGGACCAAATCCTAAACTTTTGACAAAATGTAATACACTATAAGTGAATTTGTCCAAATACTTATGCCCAGTGCTTAATTTGTAAATCGGGAGGTTCCGGAATATAAAGTGAGTGTGGGGGGGTGACCTGGGGAGCTCTGAAATACCGGAAAATCACCTTTATAGTAAAGCATTGCATGTATATCATTGCATTTGCGTAGTGGTCTAGACTAGAGCAGTAGAGTAGAGGCGCTTGCAGAATCTTTTTTGAAGCCTAGGGTCGGGGAAAAATGTGGCCTTGTATATACGCATTTCAGGCAATTCGATGTAATTTTACATGACTGGAGACTTCAGCAGAATCTTTTTTAATACCGCACCAATGATTGAAATGTCAGGCTACTTTGACACTGACAAACTGAGAATGTGAGATCATTAAAAACGATCTCATCTTGAATCCATCAATAGCCTAGACCTAAGTGTGTGGAGGAGACTCACATATTGTACAATATAGGGGGAAATTATAGTCCTAAAAAAGCTTTCCAGTTTCACCGGCGATGGCGGATGTGCTAGTGCCAAAAGCCTATCTCTCGCCTTTTATACTGAACAAAAATATGAATGCAACATGAGACAATTTCAACGATTTTACGAAGTTACAGTTCATAAAAGGAAATCAGTCAATTGAAATAAATTCATTAGGCCCTAATCAATGGATTTCACATGACTGGGCAGGGGTGCAGCCATGGGTGGGCCTGGGAGTGCATAGGACCACCCACTGGGGAGCCAGGCCCAGCCAATCAGAATAAATTTCCCCCCACAAAAGTGCTTTATTACAGACAGAAATACTCTGCAGTTTCATCAGCTGTCCGGGTGGCTGGTCTCAGATTATCCTGCAGGTGAAGAAGCCGGATATAGATGTCCTGGACTGGCGTGTTACACGTAGTCCCTTGTAGCTCAGTTGGTAGAGCATGGCGCATGCAACGACAGGGTTGTGGGTTCGTTTCCCACGGGGGGCCAGTATGAAAATGTATGCACTCACTAACTGTGAGTCGCTCTGGATAAGAGCGTCTGCTAAATGACTAAAATGTAAAATGTTTGCGGTTGTGAGGCCGGTTGGATGTACTGCCTCAGAAATCGGCAATTAACTGCACCTCAGATTGCAGCCCAAATAAATGCTTCAAAGAGTTCAAGTAACAGACACATCTCAACACCAACTGTTCAGAGGAGAATGCGTGAATCAGGCCTTCATGGTCGAATTTCTGCAAAGAAACCACTGCTAAAGGACACCAAGAAGAAGAGACTTGCTTGGGCCAACAAACACGAGCAATGGACATTAGACCGGAGTCCAAATTTGAGATTTTTGGTTCCAACCGCCGTGTCTTTGTGAGATGCAGTGTAGGTGAATGGATGATCTCCGCATGTGTGGTTCCCACCGTGAAGCATGGAGGAGGAGGTGTTATGGTGTGGGCTGCTTTGCTGGTGACACTCTCTGTGATTTATTTAGAATTCAAGGCACACTTATCAAGACGCCTTGATAAGTTCCTTTCCTGAGGATGGCTCACCTCTCACAGTTCTGGGTGACTTTAACCTCCCTACGTCTGCCTTTGACTCATTTCTCTCTGCCTCCTTCTTTCCACTCCTTTCCTCTTTTGACCTCACCCTCTCACCGTCCCCCCCTACTCACAAGGCAGGCAATACGCTTGACCTCATCTTTACTAGATGCTGTTCTTCTATTAATCCCACTGCAACTCCCCTCCAAGTCTCCGACCACTACTTTGTATCCTTTTCTCTCTCGCTCTCCTCCAACACTACTCACTCTGCCCCTACTCAGATGTTAATGTGCCGTCGCAACCTTCGCTCTCTCTCTCCCACTACTCTCTCCTCTTCCATCCTATCATCTCTTCCCTCTGCTAAATCCTTCTCCCTCCAATCTCCTGATTCTGCCTCCTCAACCCTCCTCTCCTCCCTTTCTGCATCTTTTGACTCTCTATGTCCCCTATCCTCCCGGCCGGCTCGGTCCTCCCCTCCTGCTCCATGGCTTGACGACTCATTGCGAGCTCACAGAAGAGGGCTCCGGGCAGCCGAGCGGAAATGGAGGAAAACTAGACCCCCTGCGGACCTGTCATCTTTTCACTCCCTCCTCTCTACATTATCTTCCTCTGTTTCCGCTGCTAAAGCCACTTTCTACCACTCTAAATTTCAAGCCTCTGCCTCTAACCCTAGGAAGCTCTTTGCCACCTTCTCCTCCCTGCTGAATCCTCCTCCTCCTCCCCCTCCCTCCTCCCTCTCTGTGGATGACTTCGTCACCATTTTGAAAAGAAGGTTGACGACATCCGATCCTCATTTATTAAGTCAAATGACACCGCTGGTCCTGCTCACACTGCCCTACCCTATGCTTTGACTTCTTTCTCCCCTCTCTCTCCAGATGAAATCTTGCGACTTGTGACGGCCGGGCGCCCAACAACCTGCCCGCTTGACCCTATCCCCTCCTCTCTTCTCCAGACCATTTCCGGAGACCTTCTCCCTTACCTCACCTCGCTCATCAACTCATCCTTGACCGCTGGCCATGTCCCTTCCGTCTTCAAGAGAGCGAGAGTTGCACCCCTCCTCAAAAAACTACACTCGATCCCTCTGATGTCAACAACTACAGACCAGTATCCCTTCTTTCTTTTCTCTCCAAAACTCTTGAGCGTGCCGTCTCTAGCCAACTCTCCTGCTATCTCTCTCAGAATGACCTTCTTGATCCAAACCAGTCAGGTTTCAAGACTGGTCATTCAACTGAGACTGCTCTTCTCTGTGTCACGGAGGCTCTCCGCACTGCTAAAGCTAACTCTCTCTCCTCTGCTCTTATCCTTCTAGACCTATCCGCTGCCTTTGATACTGTGAACCATCAGATCCTCCTCTCCACCCTCTCCGAGTTGGGCATCTCCGGCGCTGCTCTCTCTTGGATTTCGTCCTACCTGACAGGTCGCTCCTACCAGGTGGCGTGGCGAGAATCTGTCTCCGCACCACGTGCTCTCACCACTGGTGCCCCCCAGGGCTCAGTTCTAGGCCCTCTCCTATTCTCTCTATACACCAAGTCACTTGGCTCTGTCATATCCTCACATGGTCTCTCCTATCATTGCTACACAGACGACACACAATTAATTTTCTCCTTTCCCCCTTCTGATAACCAGGTGGCGAATCGCATCTCTGCATGTCTGGCAGACATATCAATGTGAATGTCGGATCACCACCTCAAGCTGAACCTCGGCAAGACGGAGCTGCTCTTCCTCCCGGGGAAGGACTGCCCGCTCCATGATCTCGCCATCACGGTTGACAACTCCATTGTGTCCTCCTCCCAGAGTGCAAAGAACCTTGGCGTGACCCTGGACAACACCCTGTCGTTCTCCGCTAACATCAAAGCGGTGACCCGATCCTGCAGGTTCATGCTCTACAACATTCGCAGAGTACGACCCTAACTTACACAGAAAGCGGCACAGGTCCTAATCCAGGCACTTGTCATCTCCCGTCTGGATTACTGCAACTCGCTGTTGGCTGGGCTCCCTGCCTGTGCCATTAAACCCCTACAACTTATCCAGAACGCTGCAGCCCGTCTTCCCAAGTTCTCTCATGTCACCCCGTGCCTCCGCACACTCCACTGGCTTCCAGTTGAGGCTCGCATCTACTACAAGACCATGGTGCTTGCCTACGGAGCTGTGAGAGGAACGGCACCTCCTTACCTTCAGGCTCTGATCAGACCCTACACCCAAACGAGGGCACTACGTTCATCCACCTCTGGCTAGCTCCCCTACCTCTACGGAAGCACAGTTCCCGCTCAGCCCAGTCAAAGCTATTCGCTGCTCTGGCACCCCAATGGTGGAACAAGCTCCCCCACGACGCCAGGACAGCGGAGTCACTGACCACCTTCCGGAGACACTTGAAACCCTACCTCTTTAAGGAATACCTGGAATAGTATAAAGTAATCCTTCTTCCCCCATCCCCCATTTAAAAAACAATTATTTAAAAAAGGTGGTTGTCCCACTGGCTATCATAAGTTGAATGCACCAATTTGTAAGTCGCTCTGGATAAGAGCGTCTGCTAAATGATGTAAATGTAAATGTAAGCTGGTTGAGAGAATGCCAAGAGTGTGCAAAGCTGTCATCAAGGCAAAGGGTGGCTACTTTGAAGAATCTCAAATATAAAATATGTTTTGATTTGTTTTACACTTCTTTGGTTACTACATGATTCCATATGTGTTATTTCATAGTTTTGATGTCTTCACTATTATTCTACAATGTAGAAAATAGTAAAAAATTAAGAAAAACCCTTGAAAGAGTAGGTGTGTCCAAACTTTTGACTGGTACTGTACCTCTACTCCTCTAGTCTAGACCACTTCGCAAATGCAATGATATGCATGCAATGCTTTATTATAAAGGTGATTTTCCGGTACCTCAGAGCTCCCACAGCTCCTGCACCTAAATATAAACAGTACCGGCACCCAAAATGAGTACCGTCACCTATTTCAGTCCAAGTCAAGCACTGCTGTCCAAATAAATATGTAGGAGTGTTTATATCTAGCTAAGTACAGTTAGAGCAGTGCTCAAATCCTAAGAGTATGTTTCCCCCTAGTGTTTACTTTCTGAAACTACTTCATTCGCCTAAAAATATTGCACAGAATCAAGGGATAAATGCTAAATAATATCTGTATTTATTTGATGTTGGTCAAAATAAAGTATTCTTTCTTTAGAAAGAGGACTCCTGTTGAGGGAAAAATATGTTCTTCCTTCAGGACTCCTGTTGAGGGGAAATAAGAAATTATTACTAAATGGCAAAATTTCTTTGAATGATAACATTACATTGTATCAGCCATAGAGTAAACTTTTAATGTTGGTACTCACAGTGATTAAAAAAAAGATTTTCCTTCCTGCAGGGTCTGCTGGTTGACACTGATGGCTGCTCTGACAGACAGGTAGTCTGTGTCTGTGGAGATGGGGATGCCTTGTCTCTTCCCTCCCCTTCTGTGCTCCCTGCAATCAACTCTCTGTGCACATTGGAGCCTTTGTGTAGTGAATATTTATTTAGATTGGATCCAAATTTCAAAAACGTTGTGAGTACTGGATACTCGGAATGGAAACACTTCTTAGAAAAATGCCCAAAAGTTACTTTGGGAAGTCCTCTTTCTTGAATCTTAGCGGTGCTGGATTCTAATAGGTTGTGGGAGTTGTTCTGCTTGTTCTGTTGTTTATTACTCATTTCTTTGAGGTCGTTGGTTTCGGATGTAGCTGATGACTGAGGCTCTTTGGGCTCCACAGGGATATCCTTAACCTTAGAGGCCGCTGGGGGGTGTTGGACTTTGGCTACAGGGCGAGGTCTCTTGTCCAGGTCTTTGGCCACACCCTCAGGAACCTCAAATGCCTTCAGAGAGTCCATTATCCGTTTTGGGTAACCCCAGTTTTTGTGAGCCTTCTTTTTCCTCACATTGCCCTCTAAAGCCTCTTTCTGTTCGTCAGTCAAAAACGGCAAGTCACTTGTCATCACCTCAATGTCATACTTGGGCTTTGGGAAAACTCTGCTCCGGTCTATCTTTGGTGCCTTGGGAAAGAGGGCATCAATAGACTTTGGCACCACCTGAGGCAGACCCCAGAGGTGTTGGATTGTCTTGCGTTTGATGTGGAACTCTAGCTTGTCTCTCATTTCTTTGCTGATGAAAAGTGTCTTAGAGCAATTCAATTCCAACTCTACCTCTGATGATGTCACTTCCTTAGGCTGAGGAGTTTCTTCGGGTGTGATCAGTTCCATGGACTTGCTGAAGATGGTTGTCGCTCCCAATACATTTGCCAAACGCTTCTGTTTCAGGTTCATCTCAAGAAGTTGAATGGATGCCTTTTCTATTAATAAAACATGTTTCACTCTGGTTATAGGGATGCGAATACCTGGTCCGACTAGCTTCTTCACCAACCTCTTAGGACGAGCATTTCCCTGTGGCTTAGACAAGAGGTCCATCTTTTCCCGTTTCTGAGCTTTCTGATCATTGAAGGCCACCCAGGATATATCAGTAGTGTTCACTTTTGATAATTTGCCAAAAGATTTTTCCTCGATTTTAATAAGATATTCAAACATGGCAAGACTTTTTTGAAATGTGGTCTTTGCGTTGTGCTGTTCGGGATCTGTAACTTTGTCACACACCATAGGTTGATGTTTTTCCTCTTCAACATTGAAAACAAGCTCAGGAATCCTCTTTGTGGCCTCTTTGCGGATACTGTGCTCTAGACCGTGCCTCCCCTGCAATTCTACTGACAGTGGGTTATTCAACTCTGACCTGCCAGCAGGACCTTTGTTAGTAGAGCATGGCTCATCCTTGGAAACCACTGGTGGAGCATGGATCGCTTCACTCATCTCAGATCTTGCAGGCACAAGAGTGGATAGACTGGATGTTGAGGAGCTGAGGGAGGACCAGGAGGTAAATGAGCTGATAGAATCAGAGGAACCCATAATGTTCAGAGGCCAAAAGCTGTCCTCAGTCTTACTGCTGGTGGTGGTTTTGTTTCTGGACTCTGGAGTGTCCACTCTGATGTCGACGCACCTGCCACCATCGTTGTTACACAGGTGCATAGACCTGCACTGTTTGCAGTCAGCCAGTAACTCGACATGACGTTTGGAGGAAAATGAAGGTTTTCTCTTTGTATCCAGTTCACTGGCCGTGTCGTAGGAATCTTGAGACCGCTGCTGCCTTGGCTTCCTCTGTCTTCTGCTCCTACAGCTGACCTTGTGCACAGTGTTCTCCAGCAGATCATCCAGTTCATTCACATGGTCTAAGCAGCTACTGTATAGGGTGTAGCTCTGGGTGGTCAAATCCTTCAGCATGTCCCTTGTGAGAAAAGATATCACTGATATTAGTAAAAACATTTTTTGAAGAGAAAATTACTTAAGTGTTGGCTAGAGCACACACACACACACTCTCTCTCTCTCTCTCTCTCTCTCTCTCTCTCTCTCTCTCTCTCTCTCTCTCTCTCTCTCTCTCTCTCTCACTCTCTCTCTCTCACACACACACACACACAAACAAAACATGTTTCTAAACTTACAAAAAATCATTGTCATCGAAGTCTTCATCCTTTCTTCTCCATAGATCCCATAAGCACCACAGTATGAGGCCTGAGCAGAATAAAATCACAATGGTCTTGATAAGGATTGCCACATCAAGACCCAGGAACAGAGGCCGTGAAGAGACATTCACACCATTGCTGAAATCATTATTTGCGGTAGCAAACATATTGGCGATGGAAACCATCATCTAGCTAGCCTGCTACATTTTGTGTTCAGAATTTGCCCCGTTAATGGTGCGTTTGAAGCTTGGTTTAACAGAGAGAAAATTCAGCAAGAACACACACTGGAGCGCTCTAAGCGTCATAAACTATTGCGTATTGCGTTCTTATTTGTGACACAGTAGACACACAATAACTATTTCAAGCAAAGTCAAAGACAACTATACACAGTAATAAAATGCATGCATTTGCTCTTGATCTACTTATTTACTTGAATGTCTATCATGAAAAAGTGTTTGTTCCTTATAGTCTAATTAATAGCCTATGCATAGCCCTGATAATAGAAAAGCGCTATAAAAGTTGAATACATTCTAATGTATTATTATTAGGTCTACATAGCCCATAGCGCTTTTTATAGACTCAAAATATGCTCAAAGGTTCCCATTTGCCCTACTCTGTTTTGGACAAATGTATTGTAGGGCTGGCTATACCAAACAATTTGCATAATTGTTTGGTTTAATTGATCAGTTGGGCGCAACAGGTGAAGAACATGTATAAAAGGGCAGAGCTGGCCTCGTATGCGAGTTGGTGACTTTGAGGTTCAGCTCAGGAAGGTATGGTTGGGTTACTGCGTGCATAACCATTTTGTGTGTTAACAGATGATAATGAATTGTTTATGGTTATATTGATTTTATAGACCCATATCCTCGATTGATGTCGTATTATGTCTAAACTCATTTGGCCAAAACAATTTTGGCAACAAAAACCTGCTTGAAGAATCAGACAAAGTAAATGTGTGTATTTTGATGCCATACGTGACCTTTTTTTTTGGTAGATTGAATGTGGTAACATCTGTTTCAATCTCTCAAATCCGTGTAATTCTGGTAAACACATTTTTCGTTTTCCTATAGGCCTACCTACATATGTTTTGATTAGGAAGAGTGCAGTTTCTCATCATGATATCAGCTGTTCTGATTACCATATAAGGACTGGAAAAAATAAACTTGTGAAATAAACACTTTCTTCATGGTCTGGTTTCTTTCATCTTAAACTCAGATCTGAGTCACAGGTATTAAACTATAGAATGCTACAGCCCACTTAGGCAGCGTTTACACATGCAGCCCAATTCTGATTTTTTTTTTTCTCCCCCTCCCACTAATTGGTCTTTTGTCTAATCACAGATTTCTTTCAGATCTGATTGGTCAATAGACCAATTAGTGAGAGAAAATAATCAGCATCTGGCTGCCTGGGTAAACACCAGGAGGAGAACTGAACAAATTAGGCTGACCTGACTACTGGGTCTCAAGTCAAGCTACACAGACTTCAAAGGTTATTTACTGTGCGCTAAAACATTCTTAACAGAAGCTTGAGGTCGCCAGTCTTGCCAACACCTGTGTAGTTAAGCGTCAGCGAGGCTGAGGTAGCAGGGTGAACTGTTAATGTTCATAGTCACTTTAAGTCCTAAGTCACGTTTACACAATGAGATGGCAAATGTTAACACGTATTTTGAAGGTGAGAAATGAAACGACAAAAGTATGCTGTGGGTAGTTTTCTTACACCCACATGCTCGCATTGCCTTGGCCTGAACTTGCACAGGCAAATACTTGGTATTCTCAATGACGTGGATTTGTGCGACGTGGGGCTTCTCGCGACAGCTTTTTTTTAACCATCCAACATGGCGTCGTAGGGACGCTGTATTGTTGTTTTACATGGACCTATTTATGTGAAGACAAGTGGATTCTTCTCGATTTATTACAACTTAAACACGAACTACGACACCAAATTGTCGGTCTCGATTCTGCGGGTATGAGAGAGGTCTGGGAAGACTATGCTGAGATCCACCGGTTTCTTCCGTGGAATTGACTGCCCGTTTTACACGGATAGCTACAACGAGGAAAGCGGCAAATATGGGTGCAACAGACCATACTGTCACTTCAGACACAGCAAACATAGACGTGCGTCTTATGGATCAAATTACACTAGAAAATCAAAAGAACTTTACTCCAACCAAAAGGGTGACTTGCATTTATTTTGTATTCCTATAACTTCGCTATGTTAGCTAGCTATCCAATGTTTATTGATGTCGCAGTGGCTGCATAACGTTAGCTACAGTGTTTAACTAAATGTGCAAGTATTGAAGCTAAAGCTAATGTGTTAACCATTGTGAAATATATAAAACATGTTTCAGCCTTACTGAGGGGTTGATAACGTCACATCTTGTACATTAAATAAATCCTCAATCGGCTATACTGTGTAATTCGTTTTAGCTGCATTACCATTAGCTAGCTAGTAAAGTCAGAGTGAAGTAAGTGGTGTCCTGATGTTAACCCTTTGAACTCTGAATGGTTCTGCGTGTTGTCTGAAGTCAGGTTTGTTGACAATGGCATTTGAAACCTTATTTCTATGCAAGGTAAAGACATAACATATTCAACTGAACTGTTAAGAGTACTGTAAAACTGTGCATTATACTTACCATAGAAAATTATTGACAATTTGCTAATCCTAATTGGTATCTTAATGGCTTTCTTCAGAGCAAGGTGGCTATGACCCATTCAACCCAGAGGTAGTAAGACCAGAGGCGCAACAGAATGGGGAGCCTGCTGCTGCAACAGTGGACATGGGTGCCCTCGAGCTTGAGTTGGTCAACCGTGCCATCGAGGAGGTACGCAGTGAGGTGGAGCGGGAAAAGAAGAAGCTCTCACGAATCGGAGACCAGGAATATGACCCTTCTGCCAGTTCTCCCAAAGTGTTGGCGAAACAGCCGAAACCACTCTCTCAAACTGGGGACAAAAAATATGACCCTACTGCCAGTTCCCCCAAAGTGGTGCCAAAACCACTCTCAGGAACTGGGGACCAGGAATATGACCCTACCACCAGTTCCCCCAAAGTGATGGCTAACTGGCCAAAACTACCGGCCGTGGCATCCCACTTGGCGTATGACCCAGGCAGTTATCAGATGACTACAACAGCAGATTACAACCCCACCCCTCGCTCCAGTAAGTACACCTTGGACTCTGACAGCAAGGACAACCATGCAAGCTCCATGGAATATGTGCCCACCTCAGTTACCAAAACAGCTTTGAAAAAGCCTGCTCCTCGAACACGAACTCCTCATCTACCCTCTCCCCCTACTAGTCCTAAATACTCCACTAATGCGTCCTCCAAGAACAAGTACACAGTGGATAATTCTAAACCATCCACAGACATGGAATATGACCCTCTCTCCAACTATTCAGCTAAAATTGCTGGCAAGAATAAGAAAGACCAGAGGACAGGTGCTTCTAAGGGAGAAGGGAAAAAAAGACCTCACCTGTCAGGGACAGGAAAGCCGTCAACTGATGAGGAATATGTGCCAACAATCAAGAAGCCTCGGCAGGTGATACCAGACCCACTGAAGTACACTGCCAGTTTCTCTGAGTCTGATGAGGAGAGCTCTGGGACAGAGTATCGACCCACCTCTCTCAGCCGTCTGCAGAGGAGGAAGAGCAGCAGTGGGTTAGTGGAGGAGGCCTCTGGTCCAGGGAAAGGAGAGAGGACAGAAGGAGCTCTAGATGGGCTGAAACAACAGAGGAGAAGGGAGGTTAAAGAGCAGGAGGACTCGGAGAAGCAGGAAGTAGCAAGGCAAAAAGACAGGCCAGAGACTGAAAAAGGGCCATTTAAAACCAGCCACATGAAGAGCAGCAAAGTAGAGAAGGTGCATAAATCTGAAAAGGAGTCCAGTAAAAAGAGTGGTGGTAGTAAAGAAAAAGGAGCAGGGGACGGTAAGAAAATAAGTGATTCAAGGAAATCAAGCCACGAAACTGCAAAGAAGGACAGCAAGAATCAGGGAAAGAAAGAAGAGGAGAAAAGCAAGATAAAGGATAAATCCATAGACAAAGGCAAGGAGGGACAGGAAGGAAAGAGAAGTGATGGAAAGAGTAAGATATGGACAGACAAAGTAAAAGGGGAGTCAAGCAAGAGCGAGAGTGAGAGAGAAAAGGGGGGTGGGGATAGTAAAAAACTGAAGAATTCAGACAAGGAAAAGGACTCTTCTAAGTTTAAAGAACACAAGAATGGTAAACATTACAGCAGTGGAAGAGAAAAGGACTGCAATAAAGTTAGCAAAGGGAGTTCTAACAGTTCTAACAGCAGTAAAGACAAGGTGAAGAAAACCAGCAGAAGCTCCTCGGATGGCAAAACAGGAAAGGTAAAACAAAGATCTCTGAGTCACGTAGATCTGTTTGGGGATGAGAGTGCAGAGGAGAAACCTGAGGAGGATGACGAAGAGGAGACAATTGTGAGGAAGTCAGCTGCTGCTTTCAAGAGGGGGCGTTTGAACAAGAGGAATGCCACAGAGCTCACCCCCTCATCCTCAGAGGATGATGACGTTGGTCCAGATGATGACAGAGGCTATGATGACATGGATGGTGGTGGAGTGGACTACTCCGGTCTGCAGGTGGACCTGGACTTTGACCTGGATGATGACCCAATGGAGGAGTGCTTACGGATCTTCAATGAATCCAAGGATGTGAAGACAGAGGACAAGGGAAGGCAAGCCAAGGTACCCATAGATTGCCATCTCCCTTCATTGTAACTTGTTTTGTACAATATTTCCTTAGGTTAGCATTCATTGCAGTTTATCCTGTTCATACAGATCAGTAATAATTGGTGTAATTTATTTTAGAATGGGACTGAATGTAATGTGTTTGTCTCCAATATTCTATTCGTAAAATATTGTGTGAAATGTACATTTTATTCAGTTTTTCCTCTCCCTTCCCAGCCCTCGAAAGATTCTGACGATGAGGATGCCACCACAGACAGCAATCAAACTACTCTCTTTCCTGGGCAGAAGAAGAGGGTTTCACATTTCTCTGCCAAAGGAAGTGTGAGTTTGTTCTCTGGTATTTACCCACATCTCTATGGTAACCACGGTAGCAAAAAGCGTTTCATTGAATACAAACTGGATTCTGTGTTTTCAGACTGAGGCAACGCCAAAGCCTCCACCGTACAGGAGACTGACTGCCCAGGAGATCTGTTACCAGCGCATGCAGATTGCCCAGCAGCAGGCCGCCCAGCTTGCTGCAGCCGTGAAGACTGCCTCTACACCCAGACCCAGGCCAAGACCCAGCCCCAGCCCCTTCCCTGGGGAGAGGAAGAGAGTAGCCCACCGCCCCACCCCCTTACCATCCTCCTCCAAGTCTGGTAAGAATGCTTGGCCTTTCTATCTTTCACCCTATATATGGTCATGTCATCTAACGCAGGGTTTCCCAAACCTTTCTTTATCTGACTGCAGGTCTTGCCGAGGCAAAGCTAGCAGGCAGCAGAGTGTTGTCGCCCACCAGGACCCTCCCAGGAGGTTTCTCTGTGAAGGCCCAAACATCAGCCGGCATCCTGTCAAAGACCACCACCACTATTGCACAGAAGAGGGTAGCACACACTCCCACAATGAAGGTAACACCAGGAATTTATAGTATGTCACAACATTATCATGAAAACATGATATTTGTGTCCATTTAGTTGACATTATTTTTTATGTTCTTCTCAGAGCTCTGCAATGAAGCGCCCAGTGATTCCCACTGAGTTTGGGGCCAAAGTGCCCACCAACGTCCGCCAGCGATACCTCAACAACTTTATAGATGAGTGTATGAAGTTCTGCCCCTCTGAAGACTTGGCCTTCCAAATGGTATGTGAGACCACACAGGGTTGAACTGATTTATCATCAAATCTATCCATGTCTACAGTAAAGTATGTGTCCTCATAGCACTGCTAGTGGTATCCCATTTTAGGAAAGGGTGGATGAGTTATGTTTGTGAAATATTTGATGTGAGTTTAAGTTGAAAACAGTCAACTGTGTCTCTAGGCCCTGGACGAAGAGAAGGTGGTGTATGACCGGAGCAGCAGTAAGAACATCTACCTCAACGTGGCAGTCAACACACTGAAGAAGCTACGCAGCAAGAGCATCTCCCCCACCTCACCCGTTGCCAGTATGTCACTGACACATACATTATCTATGTAGCAATTACAAACAGATGGTGTTTGGTGTAGTTGCAGCGCTTCTGTAAGTCGTTACCCTTTTGCACAGATCTAGGATAAAATCTCCCTCCAAAAATGCCAACCTTTACCATTAGGTGAAAAATAACCAAACTGACTTAGATCAGAGTCTAATCAGCCTGCTTGTCTTCTTTCAGGGAGCCCTGCAGCGCTGGGGAACAGGAAGGCCCAGTCCCATGAGGAAGTGCTGGGGGGACGCCTTGCTGCCAAGACCAGCTTCACCATCAACAGGACTGGAAAGCAACAGGAGGAGAAACTCAGTGGTGAGTAGCTGGTCCTCCTCTGGTTGGAGCTGGTATTACTGGCAGAATATGTTTGATTAGGCGGGAGCTTTGTATTCTAGCTATGTGTTGTCTGTCCGGCTGCAGGTGTCAGGCTATACAGGAAGCTGAGGGACTATCTGATGACGGAGGAGCAGCTGCAGGAGCATGGATACCCCAGGCCACACCCTGAGCGCTCAGGTCGAGCCGTGGTCCACAACGTCCCAGAGAAGAAGAATGTTGACCGTAAATCTCTACAAAGCACCTACACACACCCTCCTCAGTCTGGTTGGATCAAATCCTCCCCTACCAGACTAACAGATTCTTTGATTTGTTCAAAGCGTTTGCCAAGGTGTGCTGTCGATGTGGGGCCGAGTATAGGATCAACGCCAACGGCAACTGTGTTCGCAAGGAGGAGTGTAATCATCACTGGGGCCGTCTGCGTAGACATAAAGGTAGGTCTGTCTGTATGTCTGTACGTAAATAGTGAGTTCCAAAAGTATTTGGACACTAGCTAGGTTTCCATCCAATTTGCGACAGATTTTCATGTAAATATTCTAAAATCTGCATAAAACAATATAAGCATTTTCCCACCAGAGATGTTTCCATCAAACATACTTTTTGCGGATAAAAGTCTGTGCGTGAGGACGTAGTGCACATTAAAATACGCTATATATTTATTTAATTTGTACCTTTATTTAACTAGGCAAGTCAGTTAAGAACAAATTCTTATTTACAATGACGGCCTACACCGGCCAAACCCGGATGACATTGGGCCAATAGTGCGCCGCCCTATGGGACTCCCAATCACGGCCGGTTGTGATACAGCCTGGAATCGAACCAGGGGATCTGTAGTGACGCCTCAAGCACTGAGATGCAGTGCCTTAGACCGCTGCGCCACTCGGGAGGCCATATATACAGTGGGGGAAAAAGTATTTAGTCAGCTACCAATTGTGCAAGTTCTCCCACTTAAAAAGATGAGAGGCCTGTAATTTTCATCATAGGTACACGTCAACTATGACAGACAAATTGAGAATTTTTTCCCCAGAAAATCACATTGTAGGATTTTTTAGGAATTTATTTGCAAATTATGGTGGAAAATAAGTATTTGGTCACCTACAAACAAGCAAGATTTCTGGCTCTCACAGACCTGTAACTTCTTCTTTAAGAGGCTCCTCTGTCCTCCACTCGTTACCTGTATTAATGGCACCTGTTTGAACTTGTTATCAGTATAAAAGACACCTGTCCACAACCTCAAACAGTCACACTCCAAACTCCACTATGGCCAAGACCAAAGAGCTGTCAAAGGACACCAGAAACAAAATTGTAGACCTGCACCAGGCTGGGAAGACTGAATCTGCAATAGGTAAGCAGCTTGGTTTGAAGAAATCAACTGTGGGAGCAATTATTAGGAAATGGAAGACATAAAAGACCACTGATAATCTCCCTCGATCTGGGGCTCCACGCAAGATCTCACCCCGTGGGGTCAAAATGATCACAAGAACGGTGAGCAAAAATCCCAGAACCACACGGGGGGACCTAGTGAATGACCTGCAGAGAGCTGGGACCAAAGTAACAAAGCCTACCATCAGTAACACACTACGCCGCCAGGGACTCAAATCCTGCAGTGCCAGACGTGTCCCCCTGCTTAAGCCAGTACATGTCCAGGCCCGTCTGAAGTTTGCTAGAGTGCATTTGGATGATCCAGAAGAGGATTGGGAGAAAATGTCATATGGTCAGATGAAACCAAAATATAACTTTTTGGTAAAAACTCAACTCGTCGTGTTTGGAGGACAAAAAATGCTGAGTTGCATCCAAAGAACACCATACCTACTGTGAAGCATGGGGGTGGAAACATCATGCTTTGGGGCTGTTTTTCTGCAAAGGGACCAGGACGACTGATCCGTATAAAGGAAAGAATGAATGGGGCCATGTATCGTGAGATTTTGAGTGAAAACCTCCTTCCATCAGCAAGGGCATTGAAGATGAAACGTGGCTGGGTCTTTCAGCATGACAATGATCCCAAACACACCGCCCGGGCAACGAAGGAGTGGCTTCGTAAGAAGCATTTTAAGGTCCTGGAGTGGCCTAGCCAGTCTCCAGATCTCAACCCCATAGAAAATCTTTGGAGGGAGTTGAAAGTCCGTGTTGCCCAGCGACAGCCCCAAAACATCACTGCTCTAGAGGAGATCTGCATGGAGGAATGGGCCAAAATACCAGCAACAGTGTGTGAAAACCTTGTGAAGACTTACAGAAAACGTTTGACCTGTGTCATTGCCAACAAAGGGTATATAACAAAGTATTGAGAAACTTTTGTTATTGACCAAATACTTATTTTCCACCATAATTTGCAAATAAATATATTAAAAATCCTACAATGTGATTTTCTGGATTTTTTTCCCTCATTTTGTCTGTCATAGTTGACGTGTACCTATGATGAAAATTACAGGCCCCTCTCATCTTTTTAAGTGGGAGAACTTGCACAATTGGTGGCTGACTAAATACTTTTTTCCCCCACTGTACAAATGAACAGTTGAAGTCGGAAGTTTACATACACCTTAGCCAAATACATTTAAACTCAGTTTTTCACAATTGCTGACATTTAATCCTAGTAAAAATTCCCTCTCTTAGGTCAGTTAGGATCACCACTTTATTTTAAGAATGTGAAATGTCAGAATAATAGTAGAGATAATGATTTATTTCAGCTTTTATTTCTTTCATCACATTCCCAGTGGGTCAGAAGTTTACATACACTCAATTAGTATTTGGTAGCATTACCTTTAAATTGTTTAACTTGAGTCAAACGTTTCGGGTAGCCTTCCACAAGCTTCCCACAATAAGTTGGGTGAATTTTGGCCCATTCCTCCTGACAGAGCTGGTGTAACTGAGTCAGGTATGTAGGCCTCCTTGCTCGCACACGCTTTTTCAGTTCTGCCCACACATTTTCTATAGGATTGAGGTCAGGGCTTTGTGATGGCCACTCCAATACCTTTACTTTGTTGTCCTTAAGCCATTTTGCCACAACTTTGGAAGTATGCTTGGGGTCATTGTCCATTTGGAAGACCCATTTGCGACCAAGCTTTAACTTCCTGACTGATGTCTTGAGATGTTGCTTCAATATATCCATCTAATTTTCCTTCCTCATGATGCTATCTATTTTGTGAAGTGCACCAGTCCCTCCTGCAGCAAAGCACCCCCACAGCATGATGCTGCCACCCCTGTGCTTCACGGTTGGGATGGTGTTCTTCGGCTTGCAAGCCATCCCCTTTTTCCTCCAAACAACGATGGTCATTATGGCCAAACAGTTCTATTTTTGTTTCATCAGACCAGAGGACATTTCTCCTAAAAGTACGATCTTTGTCCCCATGTGCAGTTGCAAACTGTAGTCTGGCTTTTTTATGGCGGTTTTGGAGCAGTGGCTTCTTCCTTGCTGAGCGGCCTTTCAGGTTATGTCGATATAGGACTCGTTTTACTGTGGGTATAGATACTTTTGTACCTGTTTCCTCCAGCATCTTCACTAGGTCCTTTGCTGTTTTTCTGGGATTGATTTGCACTTTTCGCACCAAAGTACGTTCATCTCTAGGAGACAGAACGCGTCTCCTTCCTGAGCGGTATGACGGCTGCGTGGTCCCATGGTGTTTATACTTGCGTACTATTGTTTGTACAGATGAACGTGGTACCTTCAGGCGTTTGGAAATTGCTCCCAAGGATGAACCAGACTTGTGGAGGTCTACAATTTGTTTTTCTGAGGTCTTGGCTGATTTCTTTTGATTTTCCCATGATGTAAAGCAAAGAGGCACTGAGTTTGAAGGTAGGCCTTGAAATACATCCACAGGTACACCTTCAATTGACTCAAATGATGTCAATTAGCCCATCAGAAGCTTCTAAAGCCATGACATAATTTTCTGGAATTTTCCAAGCTGTTTAAAGGCACAGTCAATTTAGTGTATGTAAACTTCTGACCCACTGGAATTGTGATACAGTGAAATAATCTGTCTGTAAACAATTGTTAGAAAAATTACGTGTCATGCACAAAGTAGATGTCCTAACCGACTTGCCAAAACTATAGTTTGTAAACAAGAAATGTGTGGAGTGGTTGAAAAACAAGTTTTAATGACTCCAACCTAAGTCTATGTAAACTTCTGACTATTTCAGCCACACCCGTTGCTGACAGGTGTATAAAATCGAGCACACAGCCATGCAATCTCCATAGACAAACTTTGGCAGTAGAATGGCCTTACTGAAGAGCTTAGTGACGTTTAGTGTGTCACCGTCATAGGATGCCACCTTTCCAACAAGTCAGTTGGTGAAATTTCTGCCCTGCTAGAGCTGCTGTAAGTGCTGTTATTGTGAAGTGGAAACGTCTGGGAGCAACAACGGCTCAGCCGCGAAGTGGTAGGCCACACACGCTCATAGAACGGGACGCCGAGTGCTGAAGCGCGTAGCGCGTAAAAATCCTCTGTCCTCAGTTGCAACACTCACTACCGAGTTCCAAACTGCCTCTGGGAGCAACGTCAGCACAAGAACTGTTCGTCGGGAGCTTCATTAAATGGGTGTCCATGGCCGAGCAGCCGCACACAAGCCTAAGATCACCATGCGCAATGCCACCATTGGACTCTGGAGTGATGAATCAAGCTTCACCATCTGTCGGTCCGACTGACGAATCTGTGTTTGGCGGATGCCAGGAGAATGCTACCTGCCCCAATACGTAGTGCCAACTGTAAAGTTTGGTGGAGAAGGAATAATGGTCTGGGGCTGTTTTTCATGGTTCGGGCTAGGCCCCTTAGTTCCAGTGAAGAGAAATCATAATGCTACAGCATACAATGACATTCTAGATGATTCTGTACTTCCAACATTGTGGCAACAGTTTGGGGAAGGCCCTTTCCTGTTTCAGCATGACAATGCCCACGTGCACAAAGCGAGGTCCATACAGAAATGGTTTGTCGAGATTGGTGTGGAAGAACTTGACTGGCCTGCACAGAGCCATGACCATAACCCCATCGAACACCTTTGGGATGAATAGGAACGCCGAATGCGAGCCAGGCCTAATCGCCCAACATCAGTTCCCGATCTCACTAATGCTGTTGTGGCTGAATAGAAGCAAGTCCCTGCAGCAATGTTCCAGCAAGGCTGTTATAGCAGCAAAGGGGGGACCAACTCCATATTAATGCCCATGATTTTGGAATGAGATGTTCGACGAGCAGGTGTCCACATACTTTTGGTAATTTAGTGTAACTTTTGCCATTCAATTCCCAAGTACCAAATGAAAAATAAAGGTTAATTGGGTATCCGTCGTATTTTCAACTCTACTGATGGTTTTGTAAAAAAAACCTGTTGCATTTATATAGCAAATGTACCCACTCTGGTCCTGCCAACAGCTAGCAGATACAGTGTGGGTAGGCTACCTACATTATGAGATTATTATGGATAAGAGTGATATTATTTGTCAATCGGCAGCCAAGCATCGATCATCATGTCACCAGAATAAGACCCTTGATATTTATTGGAAAGGAGCATCATGCTCATCACCTTGCACATTCACCACCCAGTGAAGTTCTTCATAACTTATTTCATCTGTAGCCTAATAAACGGCATGCTTTCCCGAGTCGTCGTAGTGGGAGAACCACACAACATATCATCGCGTGACTCCCAAGTTTACTTCGATGTGATTGATGGTTATTATATCAATATTTGCGCATAAAGATGTTTCCACCGCCATGTCGCACATAATTAATTTTACAGACCCCAAAAGATCCCACAGGCATTTATACAATGTTACCGACATTTCATGTTTCCATCAGCACAGTCGTGACTTTTCATGCGTCAGGTAATTCATCCGCATGAAATGGTGGGTGGAAATGTGGTTAGTGACAATTGTTTTTGTTTTGGCTCTGTACTTCAGCACTTTGAAATTATACAATGACTGAGGTTAAAGTGCAGCTTTAATTTGATGGTATTTTCATCCATATCGGGTGAACCGTTTAGAAAATACAGCACTTTTTTACATATTCCCCCCATTTTAGGGGACCAAAAGTATTGGGACAAATTCAAAATTAAAGTAGTCAAAAGTTTAGTGTTTGGTCCCATATACATAGCACACAATGATTACATCAAGCTTGTGACTACAAACTTGTTGGATGCGTTTGCTGTTTGTTTTGGTTGTGTTTCAGATTATTTTGTACACAATAGAAATGAATGGTAAATAATGTATTGTGTCATCTTGGAGTCACTTTTATTGTAAATGAGAATAGAAAATGTTTCTAAACACTTCTAGATTCATATGGATGCTAACATGATTACGGATAGTCCTAAATGAATCGGGAATAATGATGAGTGAGAAAGTTACAGAAGCACAAATATCATACCCCCCCAAAATGCTAACCTCCCCTGTTATTGTATTATATTCTTATTTACAATAAAAGTGACTCCAAAATGATACTACATTATTTACCATTCATTTCTATTGGGCACAAAATAATCTAACACAACCAAAACAAACTTAAATGGGGGGGAAACTATGTACAAAAAGTGCTGTAATTTCTAAACGGTTCACCCGATATGGATGAAAATACCCTCAAATTAAAGCTGACAGTCTGCAGTTTAACCTCATAGTCATTGTATCATTTAAAATCCAATGTGCTGGAGTACAGAGCCAAACATACAAAATGGTGTCACTCTCCCAAAACTTTTGGAGTTTACTGTATTTGTCTGTCTATGTCTCCCTGTCTGTCTATGAACTTTTGCAGTTATTGAGTTTGTGCGTGTTGTAATGGGAATGTTAGGATTTGAATGTAGTGTCATATTTTGAATTGGACTAGCAAGAGCTTCTGTGTGTTTGTGGTAACAGTGTCGGGAGGCTGGGAGACCAACTACAACTGCTGTTCAGGGTCTGTGGGCTCTCCTGGCTGCTCCGTGTCTAAGGTAACACACCTAACAGTTCTGCTGTGTGATCAGTAATGTCAGTACTGAGTTTGAACTGAGAAGCATATGGGAACACAAGGGGGCAGTGTTGTCCAAGGCACATCGTGACTGCTACTGATTGCGCTTGATGACTTCCATTCAAAGCAGAATACTTTCTCTGTTTGTGTTACATTTAAGTATAAACTAATACCTGCCATTGATTTTTCACCTTGCCTCCTATTTGTCCACAGCAACACGTTCAGGACGGACGCAAAGAGTCATTGGACAGCTACGTTCAGACCTTTGAGAAACAGCTGCCCCCGGACGGCAACGGTGGAGTCTATGCTCTGGACTGTGAGATGGTGAGCTGGCTGCTGCACTGCTTTTCTTTGGGCACAATTAGCTGTATGAGTGCTGAGAGTGGCTCTTAATACTCTATATAATGTGTTGTCTTTCTTGCTCTCTTTCTCCTCTGTAATAGTGCTACACAAAGCAGGGTCTAGAGCTGACCAGGGTGACTGTTATCAACTCTGAGCTGAAAGTCATCTATGACACATTTGTCAAACCTGAAAGCAAAGTGGTTGACTACAACACACGGTAAGGGATCGAGAATTACTTTGTTCAGTCTTGAGTGTGGAGAATGTGCGCACACACGCTAGGACAAAATACAAGTTTTCATGGTTTCCGCAGGTTTTCTGGTGTAACGGAGGAGGACCTGGAGAATGCCACCATCACCCTGAGAGACGTGCAGGCGGTGATCCTCAACATGTTCAGCGCTGAGTCCATCCTCATAGGACACAGCCTGGAGAGTGACCTCTTCGCCCTCAAGGTACACATACACACGCCCCTAATCTGATTGCCCTCTGGTCATTATGTGTGTGCGCGTGTTTTACTATACTATTCGTGTGAGTACCAGAAGTCCTCACACAAATAGAAAACCAACTCAGAGAAGTTAGACATTTTGCCAGTCCTCACTTTTTTTTTAAAGGCTATTTTAGTGGGGCCTCCCAAGTGGCACAGCAGTCTAAGGGGGTAAAATACAAAAAATAATACAGCTATTTTAGGCTTAGGGGTTAGGGAAAATAGGATTTTGAATGGGAATCAATCCTCGCAAGTATAGTACAACATAGGTAGGTACAGTGAGGGGGGGAAAAGTATTTGATCCCCTGCTGATTTTGTATGTTTGTCCACTGACAAAGACATGATCAGTCTATAATTTTAATGGTAGGTTTATTTGAACAGTGAGAGACAGAATAACAACAAAAAAATCCAGAGAAACGCATGTCAAAATTTTTATAAATTGATTTGCATTTTAATGAGGGAAATAAGTATTTGACCCCTCTGCAAAACATGACTTAGTACTTGGTGGCAAAACCCTTGTTGGCAATCACAGAAGTCAGACGTTTCTTGTAGTTGGCCACCAGGTTTGCACACATCTCAGGAGGGATTTTGTCCCACTCCTCTTTGCAGATCTTCTCCAAGTCATTAAGGTTTCGAGGCTGACGTTTGGCAACTCGAACCTTCAGCTCCCTCCACAGATTTTCTATGGGATTAAGGTCTGGAGACTGGCTAGGCCACTCCAGGACCTTAATGTGCTTCTTCTTGAGCCCCTCCTTTGTTGCCTTGGCCGTGTGTTTTGGGTCATTGTCATGCTGGAATACCCATCCACAACCCATTTTCAATACCTTGGCTGAGGGAAGGAGGTTCTCACCCAAGATTTAACAGTACATGGCCCCGTCCATCGTCCCTTTGATGCGGTGAAGTTGTCCTGTCCCCTTAGCAGAAAAATACCCCCAAAGCCTAATGTTTCCACCTCCATGTTTGACGGTGGGGATGGTGTTCTTGGGGTCATAGGCAGCAATCCTCCTCCTCCAAACACGGCGAGTTGAGTTGATGCCAAAGAGCTCGATTTTGGTCTCATCTGACCACAACACTTTCACCCAGTTCTCCTCTGAATCATTCAGATGTTCATTGGCAAACTTCAGACAGGCCTGTATATGTGCTTTCTTGAGCAGGGGGACCTTGCGGGCGCTGCAGGATTTCAGTCCTTCACGGCTTAGTGTGTTACCAATTGTTTTCTTGGTGACTATGGTCCCAGCTGCCTTGAGATCATTGACAAGATCCTCCCGTGTAGTTCTGGGCTGATTCCTCACCGTTCTCATGATCATTGCAACTCCACGAGGTGAGATCTTGCATGGAGCCCCAGGCCGAGGAAGATTGACAGTTCTTTTGTGTTTCTTCCATTTGCGAATAATCGCACCAACTGTTGTCACCCTCTCACCAAGCTGCTTGGCGATGGTGTTGTAGCCCATTCCAGCCTTGTGTAGGTCTACAATGTTGTCCCTGACATCCTTGGAGAGGTCTTTGGTCTTGGCCATGGTGGAGAGTTTGGAATCTGATTGATTGATTGCTTCTGTGGACAGGTGTCTTTTATACAGGTAACAAGCTGAGATTAGGAGCACTCCCTTTAAGTGTGCTCCTAATCTCAGCTCGTTACCTGTATAAAAGACACCTGGGAGCCAGAAATCTTTCTGATTGAGAGGGGGTCAAATACTTATTTCCCTCATTTAAAATGCAAATCAATTTATAACATTTTTTGCATGCGTTTTTCTGGATTTCTTTGTTGTTATAGACTGATCATTTCTTTGTCAGTGGGCAAACGTACAAAATCAGCAGGGGATCAAATACTTTGTTCCCTCACTGTAGGTAGGTAGTTAGGTGTGTGTGTGTAAAAGCCCTCTCACTTCTTTTCATGTGGTCATCGTATCAACACAGCAGGGGACAAATCTTGTTCCCCATCGTAGGGGTTGTAGGTGGTGTAAACCCTCTCAGTATCACCTCGAAGTCATACACAGGCACGAGGTGGACACACCATCGTTCCCCACGTGGCTTGCCTACAGCGGGCCTGAGGAACTCATGGCAGATACTCAAAGCATATAAGGAAGAGGTGAGAGATAAATACATCACTGATTTATTGTTTATGTATATATAATATATAGATATAAATATAGATAATAGTATATATATATAAATATATAAGTAATATATAATATATAGAATGATATAATATATAATGATATAATGTAATAATATATATAATAGTACTGATAATAATAATATATATATATATATAATTATAGCATAATATATATATCATCTATATTATAATATCCTTATATATCTATTCATACTCTTTTATCATTAAATCTATTATAATTATCTCACTCTCTATTATACTTATTATATATATTATAGATATATATATATATATATAATATATAATATATATATATATATAATATATATATATATATATATATATATATATATATAATATATATGTATGTAACATGTCACTAGTAGGCCATTTCCCTCTCTGGTTTCAGTTGAAGGTCATGACTCCAGTGAGGACGCCTGCGCCTGCATGGAGCTCATGATATGGAAGATCCGAGAAGACGCCAAGGTAAAGAGATGACTTCTGCTCTCCTCTAACCGGACCGCTGTAGAGAGACGGACAGTGAGGGGGAGAGAAGGGGGGCTGAGGGCCCTGGAGAGAACTGTCAGTCTGAGAGGCCAACTGCCCAGTACTTGAGTTCTACTGTGGTCGGACAGTGACAGAGAGCGAAAGGCTGAGAATGGGCTCCTCTGAAGAGATCTGCTGGGATGGCCAAGTCACTATGTTGCCTGGTCAGGTGGGCCATAGTGAACAGGTGCTGCTGGAGTACATTGTTGGAGTGCAGCAGAGCCAGAGCCCTCGATAGAGTGAGCTGGTAAAAGACAGAAATCAACAGTGTTTTCATTTACTGTTCCTATTTTATTGAGAAGATCCATGATCATGATTGTCACCAGTTTTTGTTTGTATGTATTCTTCTCCTTCCACGATCTAACTCTGAAAGACAGTGGGGGGGGGGGTGTGTGGGGTGGGGGGGGGGGGGGGGGGGTTGTTCACATTATGTTATGGTGAAAATGCTATTGCTGCTGAGCTGCATCCTTGGCCCAACTTGCACTATAGAAATGCTCTCCTTGTATTGGGCTAAAGTACCTCATCTGTGTTGAATGAATACAGTACTAAAGACTTGGTACTGAAGAACTCGGTGCATCGTTGTCTAAACATGGTTATTCTCAGACATGGAACGTTGCCACCATACATGCACTTGGTGTTGGAGTTTGGACTTAGATTGACCACATTTCATCTAATAGTACAGATGTGGTACAATCTTTTAGTATTTTGGCGGCTCTCGAACTTGATTAATCATGACGGACTTGGTCAGACCCCAAAACAGAAGTATTTATGTGTCTAAAATTGTCCTGGTATGGTTGATTAGAGATATTGTGTTGAATAGCTTGACCATCAAATCTCACTATATCTGTGTCTTGTGCACTGCATGAAAGTGAACTTGGGCTACTTTTATAGCCACACAGATAGAACCTATTACTCACAGGGTATGTAGAAAAACTATGTCCACATTATGCAACAATTAGTTATTCAATGCAGACAGATATCAAATCGTTTATAGTAACTAACGCCTATAATTTTGTTAAATATGGTATAACATATGAGGGTCAAAAAAAAAAAAACTTATGCTGTAAATATGCTGTAAGTTGTTTCCTTTTGTATTAGTTTTTTTGTTTATCTTTTTCTATTAAAAAGATTGAAAAGATCTGGTTTATGTAATCATTTCAAAGTTAAAAATATTTCTGCCAATGTCAAAGCATAATAAATGTAAACATCACTAACAATAAGTGCCTTCTATAATGTATAGTTGTCCAAATGTAAGTTGTTTACTTATATTAGTGCATATCCTGTGCATTTACTGTGCCTTCAAAAAATATTCACACCCCTTGACTTTTCCCACATTTTGTTGTGTTACAGAGTGGGGTTAAAATTGATTTAATTGTAATTTTTTGATCAACGATCTACACAAAATACTCTGTCAAACTGGAAGAAAAATTCTAACATTTGTATTAAAAAAAATGTATATATATAAATATATATCTTGATTAGATAAGTATTCAACCCCCTGAGTCAATACATGTTAGAATCACCTTTGGCAGCGATTACAGCTGTGAGTCTTTCTGGGTAAGTCTCTAAGAGCTTTGCACACCTGGATTGTACAATATTTGCACATTTCTTTAAAAAGTTGGTTGTTGATCATTGCTAGACAGCCATTTTCAAGTCTTGCCATAGATTTTCAAGCAGATTTAAGTCAAAACTGTTACTAGGCCACTCAGGAACATTCAATGTCCTCTTGGTAAGCAACTCCAGTGTATATTTGGCTTTGTGTTTTAGGTTATTGTCCTGCTGAAATATGAATTTGTCTCCCAGTGTCTGTTGGAAAGCAGACTGAACCAGGTTTTCCTCTAGGATTTTGCCTGTGCTTAGCTCTATTTAGTTTATTTTTATCATAAAAAAACTCCCTAGTCCTTGCCAATGACAAACATACCCATAACATGATGCAGCCACCACCATGCTTGAAAATATGAAGAGTGGTACTCAGTGATGTGTTGGATTTGCCCCAAACATAACACTTAGTGCTCAGGACATAAAGTTAATTTCTTTGTCAGTTTTAGTGCCTTATTGCAAACAGGATGCATGTTTTGGAATATGATTTATTCTGTACAGGCTTCCTTCTTTTCACTCTGTCATTTATGTTAATATTGTGGAGTAACTACAGTGTTGATCCATCCTCAGTTTTCTCCTATCACAGCCATTAAACTCTGTAACTGTTTTAGTCACCATTGGCCTCATGGTGAAATCCCTGAGCGGTTTCCTTCCTCTCCAGCATCTGAGTTAGGAAGGACACCTGTATCTTTGTAGTGACTGGGTGTATTGATACACCATCCAAAGTGTAATAACTTCACCATGCTCAAAGGGATATTCAATGTCTGCTTTTATTTATTTTTACCCATCTACCAATAGGTGCCCTTCTTTGTGAGGCATTGGAAAACCTCCCTGGTCTTTATGGTTGAATCTGTGTTTGAAATTCACTGCTCGACTGAGGTACCTTACAGATAATTATGTGTGTGGTACAGAGATGAGCTAGTCATGTTAAACACTATTATTGCACACAGAGTGAGTCCATGCAACTTATGTGACTTTAACATATTTAGGCTTGCCATAACAAAGGGGTTGAATACTTATTGACTCGAGACATTTCAGCGTTTCATTTTTAATTAATAAAAACAAAACATCTAAAAATATAATTCCACTTTGACATGATGGGATGTTGTGTGTAGGCCAGTGACACAAAATCTCAATTCAATCAATTTTAAATTCAGGCTGTAACACAACAAAATGTGGAAAAGGTCACTGTGTGTGAATACTTTCTGAAGGCACTGTATAGTACAGTATGTCTCTTCGCTGTGTGTATACTCTTACGGCAGGTGCGCTGGTATTAAGTCTCCTTTTCTTAGCAGATGATTGTGTGGGATACAGAACGGGACAGAAATGCTAAATGGAGAGGCCCATCCTTTCTTTTTCACCAGGCTCTGCATGTTTGCCTATTGAGCTTCTCCCGTCACATGTCAGCATGCATTTCCCCAACTCAGGCCAGAGATCTTCTAGACCCCAGGTATTAAAGACCCAGTTAGCACAGATCAATAACCACACAATGTTCTAGTGACAGGGAGGAGATTCCTAGTGTTTGAGTGTAGCGGCGATTTGAGCATGTGGGGCGAAGCAGCTTAGAGGTCTTCTTCATTATCAAAATCGATCAGTGCATGCCCTCTGATCACCTTTGACTACTGGGGGTCGCTTGGTGCCGGGGTTGGCGACTGCTTGCGGGAGCACACATATGACCCCATGCTGGGATAAAGCTGGGTTATCCCTCAAAGCAAACCACTGACCACATCCCTCTCACTCTTTACTGGTTTTAAACATTTAATGAACTTTGGTTAGGTTTCCATTTATCTATACAAATATTACTTTGTATAACATATTCCTGTATTATGCCAGTTGTACTGTACAGTGGGGAAAAAAAGTATTTAGTCAGCCACCAATTGTGCAAGTTCTCCCACTTAAAAAGATGAGAGAGGCCTGTAATTTTCATCATAGGTACACGTCAACTATGACAGACAATGAGAGAAAAAAATCCAGAAAATCACATTGTAGGATTTTTTATGAATTTATTTGCAAATTATGGTGGAAAATAAGTATTTGGTCACCTACAAACAAGCAAGATTTCTGGCTCTCACAGACCTGTAACTTCTTCTTTAAGAGGCTCCTCTGTCCTCCACCTGTTACCTGTATTAATGGCACCTGTTTGAACTTGTTATCAGTATAAAAGACACCTGTCCACAACCTCAAACAGTCACAATCCAAACTCCACTATGGCCAAGACCAAAGAGCTGTCAAAGGACACCAGAAACAAAATTGTAGACCTGCACCAGGCTGGGAAGACTGAATCTGCAATAGGTAAGCAGCTTGGTTTGAAGAAATCAACTGTGGGAGCAATTATTAGGAAATGGAAGACATACAAGACCACTGATAATCTCCCTCGATCTGGGGCTCCACGCAAGATCTCACCCCGTGGGGTCAAAATGATCACAAGAACGGTGAGCAAAAATCCCAGAACCACACGGGGGGACCTAGTGAATGACCTGCAGAGAGCTGGGACCAAAGTAACAAAGCCTACCATCAGTAACACACTACGCCGCCAGGGACTCAAATCCTGCAGTGCCAGACGTGTCCCCCTGCTTAAGCCAGTACATGTCCAGGCCCGTCTGAAGTTTGCTAGAGTGCATTTGGATGATCCAGAAGAGGATTGGGAGAATGTCATATGGTCAGATGAAACCAAAATAGAACTTTTTGGTAAAAACTCAACTCGTTGTGTTTGGAGGACAAAGAATGCTGAGTTGCATCCAAAGAACACCATACCTACTGTGAAGCATGGGGGTGGAAACATCATGCTTTGGGGCTGTTTTTCTGCAAAGGGACCAGGACGACTGATCCGTGTAAAGGAAAGAATGAATGGGGCCATGTATCGTGAGATTTTGAGTGAAAACCTCCTTCCATCAGCAAGGGCATTGAAGATGAAACGTGGCTGGGTCTTTCAGCATGACAATGATCCCAAACACACTGCCCGGGCAACGAAGGAGTGGCTTCGTAAGAAGCATTTCAAGGTCCTGGAGTGGCCTAGCCAGTCTCCAGATCTCAACCCCATAGAAAATCTTTGGAGGGAGTTGAAAGTCCGTGTTGCCCAGCGACAGCCCCAAAACATCACTGCTCTAGAGGAGATCTGCATGGAGGAATGGGCCAAAATACCAGCAACAGTGTGTGAAAACCTTGTGAAGACTTACAGAAAACGTTTGACCTGTGTCATTGCCAACAAAGGGTATATAACAAAGTATTGAGAAACTTTTGTTATTGACCAAATACTTATTTTCCACCATAATTTGCAAATAAAGTCATAAAAAATCCTACAATGTGATTTTCTGGATTTATTTTTCTAATTTTGTCTGTCATAGTTGACGTGTACCTATGATGAAAATTACAGGCCTCTCTCATCTTTTTAAGTGGGAGAACTTGCACAATTGGTGGCTGACTAAATACTTTTTTCCCCCACTGTATATCAAGAACATAATGGGTAATTCCACAGTAATGGAATGGACTTAGATCTTTGTATGCCAAACCAAAAACAGTGATTGCAAAGTTAAACAAACGATACAACTCTGCACAAGGACTACTTTTAACAATTTCCACTGAAGATTTTACAGAAACACGTTTACTTGAAGAACAGTGCAGATGCAAAATTTGGTAACA